TTTTGTTGTTTGATTAACATTAATGACAGACGGCACCGCTTTATTAGGCTGCTGTCCCTTTAAGACCCGACTGCTTGGATCCAATATTCTGATACACACAAGTTTTCTTTCTCAAGCTTACATTCACTTAAGACAAAACTGACTGCGTTTATGAGGATACCCGCCAGGATGGGCATTTTGACAATTTTGTGTGTATTTGGCCGCTTAAGCGCAATAAGCTGCGAACAATAATTCAATTTGGTACTCGTGAGGTGTTTGCGAGGCGGCTTTATGTCCAAACGCTTTGGATGTGAGCGCACAGAAAACTGTTGTGGAGCGCGCCACTACCGAATGGTTTAAAAGGACTTAAAAAGATGTGCAAATTATACAGTTTTGTGATGATGCAACAGTGTGAAGCCGTTTTGAGAGGGTCAAAGAGAGAAGACGAGGTACCGCTGAATCACTCTTATGACTGATTCCATCTGATATTCTGTGTGGATTTATTTACATCTAACCTACATGCTATATTAAATACATGTTAGCGGGAATTTCCAGCATTATAAATGCGAAACCTGTGGGAATGAGTAAAACTAGGCGATATATGCGTGATCCCACACCGACCTGATTAAAAATGTATTCTACTGCACAGATATTTGTGAAATAATTTTCCTGACTTTTCCAAAACTTTCTGGGTTCATTGATTTTTCCAAAACCTTTCCAGGCCTGGAAATTGCCGTTTTAAAATACCATGACTTTTTCAGGTTTTTCATGACCGTACGAACCCTGCACCTAGTCCTACGGGTTTGGAACAACATGGAGGTGACTAAATGACAGATTATTTTATTTCTTAGAATAATAAAGGTGTAGAGTTCATACCTTGAGGTCCCGGTGGATGATGGGAGTTTTGCACTGATGTAGTCGAGCGACAGCTTCACATGTGTCACAGAAGATCTGCAGCACCTCCGTCTCACTGAATCCAGTCTGCAAGCACTGGTTCATCAGGTTCACAACCTGCCCACCTGGATTATTACACACAAACACTGCATGAAAATACTGCATAGTAGGTCAAGACCACCAAAACTTGTGGGAAAAGCCTCTGAATCTCAAAACGCATACCATCTTGAGAGAGGAACACATACTGACCTCGACAGAAGTCCATCAATATGAGAACTTCCCAAACATCTCCTGATCCTACTGCTGTGATGCTGGAGTCCAGGAAACCAACAATGTTTTTGTTCCCCACAAGGTCCCGCTGTTCAAGAAAACCAACACATTTAGATAGCAAAAAAAACAATCTGTACAAACTTTAGATGGCATCAGCAAGAAAAAATATATATATATCTTTGAATGGTAGTATTATATATGTTCATGATATTTTTTCTTGCTATATATTTATATATATGTATATATATTTTTTTATTTTTTTATTTTTATATATATATAAAATGTATGTTTATTTAGCAAGGACATTAAATTGGTGAAAAGTGACAGTAAATATATTTATAATGTTACAAAAAAAATTATATTTCAAATAAATGCTGCTCTTCTTTTGAACTTTTTATCATAATTTCCACAAAAATATTGGGCAGCACAACTGTTTTCAACATTTCAAGAAGAAGAAATGTTTCTCGAGCAGCAAATCAGCATATTAGAATGATTTCTCTGCAAGATAAACTGTTGATAAATAGGCCTTTTAACGAGTGCATTGGTAAAACATGTATGGAGGACAAGCCAAAACAAGCATGAAACATGATCATAACCCAAAATCTTGTTCAAAAAGATGTTTAACTAGTCATTAAAGCTGATCAGCAGACTAGACTGACAGTATTTAGATATTTATAATAAGTAAATGCTTGTTTTTGTATTTGGAAAACCACCGTCTATATGTACAGTATATGTTTTTTTTGGTAATTTGGTAGGCCTCATTTTGATAATTTTTTGTCAAATTCCACCAATAAGGAGCAGTATAACCAAAATATCAGTATATTAAAATTCACAATTTTAGATATTCAACTAATGTAACACAGTACCACAAGGAACACAGACAACCTTTGTCCAGGGAAATAAGGAGGTACTGGACACTGGATCCCTTGTGCTATCAGACCAACCGTCAGTGGACAGCGGCACACGGTATATAATCATGTAATTGATAGGTTAAACTAATTTTAATAATGTTACGTCTGACAGTAAGAGTAAGTACAAGAACTCACAAAAAAACCCTTTGACTGTGGAAATGCAACTCCCTGACAAAATGAAAATGCATTTGTGCCTAATGATGCCTAATGATTACAATAACTAATGCGTATACTTGGGGTTAGTAATTTAAACAAATCTCTAACTCCCAGTATTAAAGTTCAACAAATAAGTCATCTCAGACTATTTGTGCTAGGAATGATACCTCAAATCCAGGAATCTCACTTTCCAGTAGGGCTGGGCGATATAGCTAAAAAATGTATCAACGATATAATGTTTCATATCATTCGGTATCGATAATTATTGACATTTTTATAACCTTTTTTAAAACAAAGAGCAACAGAAAAATGTTTTTACATTTAACCACTGTATTTTTAAAGTAACTCAATTTATTGAGACAAACAACAATTTTTGTTTTTGTTTTAACAATCAAACACAAAATAAAACAAATATCCCATTTCTAATGTTTTATATGCAGATTAAATAGGTTAAACTTTTGGCTTGTTTCCCGAGGTCACAGGAGTGCATTAAATTGTCATCGCAAGGAAATAACTGTCTATAAAAAAACGTGCATTACGTCTAAATTAACTCATATAAACCAAAATATAATTTCGTAAATTGCATAAACAATTATGAACAAAACAGCATCACGTATTTATGCATTGCTTAATACAAAGAGCCGAATCGCCCATCACGCAGATTGCCTTTAAAAACATATGAGACGCAGTAAAAAGGAATAAACCTCCACAAATTTGTGACGTGTTTTCTAAAAGTTTAAACTGTTTTAACTTTGCATGGCTACATCTCTTGTGTGACGCAGCAGTCATATTTGTCCATCTAAAAA